CGCCTGACAGGCAGGCGCTGCATACGGTGTGCATGCGCTGGACTAGAGAGCGACTCATGGCAGCCAGGATGGGCCATACAGTGCCAGTGTCCTCACAGCACTCAGCATGGCATGAGATTGAAAACTTACTAATTGTTTATCTCGGGAATTTTCCATTTAATGTTTTCTGGTCCCTGTTTGACTACATGTAACTACAACCGTGGAAGCAGAACCTGCCTTTAGAGAGAACTTCTGTATGTCCAGAAGCAGTGTCATTTAGGGTAGTTCTGCGCCGAATTTGTTGATTTCCTACAGCAGCTGTGCTGTTTGCTCCAACACTGTGAGGGACCCCCCTTTTCCACATCCTCAGCACTTGTTTACTTCCCAGGGGATTCTGCGGCCTTGGCCCCCTGCCTGAACTGGGTGGCTCTAGGGAGCGGACCTGGGGCTCACCTTGCACCACGTGGACCGAGGACGTGGGGAATGACCTGTGCGACACAAGCGCCAGCAGTCGGTGGGGCTCAGTGCTCCTGCCCCAGCATCATTCCTGTGGCCTCCTGAGCCCCTTCCCCGGCATTCTTCATCTTTAAAACAAGCTCCGTGGATCTGGGGATGTGGCTGAGTGGTAGAACATTTGCCTAATGTGTTCAATCTCCAGCGCTGTGAAAACCAAACCAAAGAAACAAAAACCAGCCAACAAACACTCCCAACCCCTGTCCACCCCTCTGGCTCCTGTGGATCTGTCCTGGCGTCCCATGAGCCTGCAGTGTGACCCCAGGTCTCCTTCCCATTGTGCCTAAGTTTCCCAAGTCCCAAAATAGATCCCCACAGCTACCCAGGAAAGTGTGCCATTGTGTCCCCCTTCACTTCTGAGGAGGCTGAGGGACTCGCCCCAACCTTCCCAGTGGTAAAGGTCAAGGACAGAGTGTCTTAGGCCAGGCCTCCTTCAGCGCACACCGGCCTCAGAGCCTTCCCAGATGAGCTGTCCATGGAGCTGGACAGTGGGGATGGCTGAATGGTTGAGCAGAGGGCTCCATATTATCTTCCTGAGGCCGGTGTAACTGTCACATGCTTGGTGGCTGGAAACAGCACATATTTTTTGGCTCACTCTTCTGAAGCCCAGAAGTCCTGCATTGCTGGGGTGTGAGCAGGGTATGGCAGGACCACACTCCCTCTAGATGCTTTATGAGCTAATGCATTCCCAGCCTCTTCTCGCTCCTGGTGGCTGCTGGTATCCCTTGGCTTGTGGCCACGTTGCTCAGTCTTGGCCTCCACGATCATGCTGTCACTCCTCCCTCCCCGTCCACTCCCCTCCCCTGACCCCTCTTCCTTTCTACCTTCTCACTTTCCCTGCCCTCTCTCCCCCTGCCCCCGCACTCTTCCTGCCGCCTTTTCATGGACTGTTATTCCATTGGCTCAACAGACAGTGCAAGGGAATCTTATCACACTGCCAAGATTCTTTTCTCATATAGTCACATCAAGTCTCCAGGAATGAGGGCCAGCTAGATTTTTGAGGCCATACCAGCCTCCCCTTCTTCACTGCCTTTTCACTGGCCAGGTGAGTCAAGGGTCTCCGGAGGGTTCCAGGGTGGCATCGTTGTCAGCACCAGGCCTGGGTCATTGGGCCAGCTCCTACAGGCCTTCCTCCTGAGGCAGAAAGTGACCCAACACTAGGAAGGGCTTGGCACCTCCTGCTGATGACGCATTCAGCCTGTCCCAGGACTTGTTTGCAGGGAATCCTTTGGGCCAAGACAAACATTCACACCTCACCTTGCCCTCTGGGGATGCAGGAAGTGCTGGAGGTAAATGACTTTGGCAGTCCTGGGCGTGGGCCAAGTGTCAGAGTGGGACTGAAAGGACGTGGAGCTCTTGGAGCTCATGCTTGGCAAATGGGACCCTCAGGCAGGGTACCTGTAAACATGTGACCGCTTGCTCTGCCTGGCCCTCCGCCCTGCTCGGCATGTAGTCCATGTGGCATCCTGAGTGTTGGGACCCCAGGGCCCAGGGAGGGAGACTCAGCTGCACCTTTGAAACCCACCAACTGACGACCTGCTTGCAAAGCTCCTCATGCTTGGACTGTTGTCCGAGGTCCCCACTCCCAGGCTGCCTTCAAGCCCCATAGTCGGTCCTGTCCGCAGCGTGCAGCTGTTATGGTTTGTGGGGATAGAGCTTAGGCTCCTGCTCAGAGTTGCCTCACACAGCAGCCCAGACAGCTAAGGGGATCTTGAGGCCCCAGGAGGTCCACTTGTTCTGTTCTTTCCCTGTGTGTCACACCAGCACCTCCGTTTACAGACTTGCCACTGAGGAACCTTCTCTGCTATCCACACTGAACAGGGTCAGGCAAGCTGGGGAGGATGCCCTGCATGGCCACTCAGGGCTGGTGTCAGCCTCCCAGCCCTGAAGACTAGGCATCCCCATGACTGTTTGCCATGGGAGTTGTGTGGGGTGCTCACAGTGACTTGCTCTTTCCATGGCAGCCCAGTGACACATCGTCTCCTGGAGTCCAGTTGGGGGTGATGTAGGCATAGGATTTTATGCTATTCTTATATAAACTGCCCAGTTCTCTCTCAAGCCCATGCCTGCACAGCTGGGAAACAGGTACTTCCTGACCTCTGACCCCTGCCTGCCCCCCAGGAGGAGGAGATCCTGGGCCTTCCCACAGAGCCTCCTGGACGCGGCCCGGTCTTCGGTCTTCGAAACCCCTGGGCAGTGCAGCTCTCCGTTCCTTGCAGGCATGTCCTGATGTGCCCCTGATTGCCACACAGTGGCACTAGCCAGGAGGTACCCCCTTCTCCCAGCCTGAGTCGCCACCTTCAGGGGGTGAGAGCTGAGCCGGAGGATACTGCAGCAGGGCCCCCAGGCTTTCTGTGGACCAGGCACAGGCGGCTCGAGGAGCACCAGGTGGGGGTGGTGGGGCCTGCCCTGCTCTCCCAGGTCCCTGCTTACCCAGGTGGACAGGCCACCTGCTCAGGGCCCACCCGTGCGCTCTGCCAGCACGCACACCTCAGCCTCCTTCCTCATAGCTCCTGGCTCTGGGGAGTCTCTGGCATCGCGTTCCCAGTTGCCCGCACCATGGCCCGTGCTGACCTTTCTCTCTCAAGCACCTCTTTTGCCCGTTCCATGCCCTACCCCTCCTGTCTACAGGGCCCTGTGGTGGACAGGGCAAGAAGAGGTCATCACTGTGGTTCTTGCTGTGTGAACTCGGAGCGCTGGGGAAAGTGACTGAAGCCGGCCCACTTGGCTTTGGTAGTGGTTGAGGTTCAGGGATGGTTCACCTTCTTGCAAAGCTTGATTGAGCCTCCAATGGTGTTAGTCATTCTCAGCTGTTTTAGATAATTGTCCTTCCTGTGGGTGGCAAAGCAGTAGGCAGCAGTAACGAATTTAGACAATGATTTAGGTTCAGGGAAATGATCTGCTGCTTCCCCAGGGTCCTTCAGGAGGTTTCGGTGAGTTCCCCATGCTCTAAAAGCTGTGCTCATCACAGAAGCAGTGGCCAAGGAAATGTGTAATTAGTCCTGGTTTTCCAGTTTCTGCCTGGGCTGAGGGGAGCCCTGCCACACCTAGCCAGAGGAGGATCCCTAAGGAATGGCACTGGGTTGGGAAGGGTTCTGTTCACGCGTGAGAAAGTTGTGACCATCAATGAGCTCCCGAGCTTTGAGCAGGGGTCTGTGTGGTCCCCAGGTCCTCCCATGCCTAGCATAGGAGTTGACGGTGTGCTGTGCTGACTCCAGGCGCAGGACTGGCTGCCAGGTGAGACTGGGGGGTGGACCAGACCCCCAGGGAGTCCTCCCCATCAGAGACGCACCCCTGCTACCCAACAGAAGGAGGCATGGGGAGGTGGCACAGTGGGGTTTGCTCCACACACCTGGAGGCTGCGCTTCAGTTCCTTGTGCTCATTTCCCACCCTCGAGGTCCAAGATCCAGGCCCAGCACCCCCCCGTGTCGTGTTGTTCGGACCTGTCGCTTCTCCAGGTCCCTGTGGGCAGACCGAGACAGCAGAGCTCCCGACTTCTATCAGGGGACTGACCCCTTCCGGCTTGTTACCCAAAGGCTGATGCCCTCACCTTACCTTTAGGGTGCAGACGGCAGTCGGGGGTGGGAGCACGTGCAGTGGGGCACAGTTGGGTGGGGGCTCAGGAGCGAGTGTCACGTGGCACTGTGGGCCTGCAGCAGTGGGCACGAAGGCTTCATGGAGTGGGCCTGCCAGGGACGCTGCGGCATTGTGACTACTGCACCAAGGCTTTGCAAAGTAGAGGTCACAGAAGAGAGGCTGAGGCGGCGGTGGGGTGGGGCTGTGTCTCTGACGTGGCTGCTGTCTCTGATATCCATCCTGCCTGGCCTTTGAAAACCCTCCTGGAGCCCAAGTCCGCCACAGCCCATTGCCCTTTCTCGGAACTCCCTGCTTTCTTTAAAATGAGAAGCACTCCTGACTTGGTGCTCCCATTGCTGCGAAAGTGGCCTGTCTCGGGACCTCGTCCCGGCTTCCTGCTTTCTCCCTCTGCGAGCTGTGTATCCCCAGGCCAGGGTCACCCGTGGCTTGGAGCAGATACCAGAAGCTCAGCCGCTCTTCCACAGCAGCACTGGACGCTGAGGGCCAGCGATCTCAGGGCCCAACGACACTCAAGGGCACAGCTTGCCCCGAAAGGGGGTGACTTAAGGGGCTACGGAAATGTGCAGGAACTTGGGCCTCGGAAAGCAGCCGGTGGGATGGAGCCCAGGGGTGTGAGCGCGCCCTGGGAAATCTCCCACAGGGCTTGCTGATGTGTGCAGCCTGGGCACCCGAGAGGGCCACACATCCCGGGAGTGGCCAGTTCAGGCAGGTACGGTGCAGGGTGCACGAACGCCCGGTGCGGTCTTTCCAGTACTGAGAATCAGATCGGTCACAGAAGCAAAGACAGCAGCGAACGCGAGCTCTGCAGCCGCCGCATCTGGCCGGGTACAGAGG